CCCCAAAACCCCAAAACCCCAAAACCCCAAAACCCCAAAACCCCAAAACCCCAAAAGAGAACCTCGTTTTGAAAGAGTAGTGTTTCATTAATAATTTTACTTATTCTCCCTGACAAATCCTTCAATCCTATCATATGCTTGCTTGTTTGCAGAGCCCATTACGAGATCTTTTTTGATATCTAGCTCGGCTGGTTTATCTTTCTGTTCGCTCTTGAAGTAGAGTACAGTTGGAGTAGAATATCCTTTGAAAGTGAATATATCAGTTTCATTAAAAGATTTAATTCTATAAAATTTGACATCCTTGTCCTTCTGCTTTTTGACATAATTCTCATATTTCTTCTCATAACCTCTATTTTCGTTCATATTAGGATTCTCAACAAGGACAACGCAGTCATGATCAGATAGTAGTACCTTCTTCTTAAGGTCTTCACCTACAATTCTCTCTGCATGGGTTTCTTCAGGGACAGGTTCTGACTCAAAATAATTATGAACCTTATTCTTTTGTACTGCCTCAATAAACGTATTAATCTTCTCACAATTGATTTTTCCTGAGAAAGAGTAAGCCTTTGAGAATTTGAACCTATCTTCGGAGAACTTGGCCTTAGCGCTTTCCTTCTCATCGTCATTCTTGGCTTTCTTTAGCTCTGATTTTTCAGCAACTCTTTTGTAAAACTCTTCTGCAGTGAATCCATCAATTTTCTTAAGGTTCTTCCACTGGTGGTCTCTCAGGTCGTAGATGTCATTTTGGTCGTACTCTGGCATAGCGAGTATTACACGTGGTGATTTATCAGCCAATTTTAGCAAAGGAATCAGCATTGGCTGAGTTGAGACAATAAATAATAAATTGTTCTTTAAATCATGATTTGGATTTGCACCTGGATCCCTCTTTGCAATTTTTAAGGGGAAATTCTGCCTTGCTTTGAACGTCTCTGATAGAATATTCTTGAAATTAGGATCTTTCTTATCACAGTAAACTATTAGAGATGGGCTTTGGTACTTGCTGAATAGCTGTGCAAATGACATGAAATCATTGACAATTATAGGGAATGCCAATGCCACTGAAACTATATCTACATAAAGGTCAGTTGCTTTAGAAGTATCCAGAATATTAGTCACTTTCATGGAGTAAATATCTTTTCCATTTAAGTTTGTAGTAGCTTCTAGCTGATTATATTGGTTACATGCCTTGAGTACATAAATATCCCCGAATGAATCAGTATCAATTCCAAGTTGCTTTGCTAATTTTTCATCTCTTAAGACCCAAAATTTGATTTTTAAGAATCCGTCTGTGTTCTTTGTCTGGAATCTTCTGAGATTCTTTAGCTTTTTGTCATTCTCCTTTGTATCATCCTTACAGAAGACCACAAAGTGGTTGTCGTTCTCTGTCATTGTGATCATGAGCTCATGTTCATCATGGAGGACTCTCACTCCAGTGTAGAAGTTCATTACTTGTTCAAGAAGCTCACCATGAAAATAGGACATTAAGGTATCGTCCCAGAACCAGATCTATAAGGATGACCCTTGGAGTCTTACATCATCGTGTCCGTTGGCGAGGATAAATCAATTGTTATCAATTTCGTCCTCAAGTTTTGAAGTCATATTCCTTGTAGAAAGGTACTCTTTCAGGGCATCACCATTTTGTTCGACATCTAGGGCATAGCATTTGCATCTCAGTCCATTAGACATCTTATTGGCATGCTCATTTACTGCCTTCATGTACTCAGGAGAGGTGGTCTCTTTGTTGTAGTAGTAAATAAATTTAGTATCCCTGCTATTCATTACTTCAGTGATATTTTCAGAAGTAAGCTCTTCAAAATTATCCAGAGTCACTTCTAATTCATTTTCTACACTTTCTTCTTTCTTGGAATTCTCTTCACAGAATGCAGGTTTAGAGTAATGATGGATTGCCATTGCTCCAAGAGCAAGTCCAAGTAATGGCATGGATTTCTGGCTATAAAATTGTTTTATTTGTACAAAATGTATAAAAATTGCTGTATGAATAGTAAAACTGCTGGTTTTAAAGATCTTACAAATAGCTCTTCTGATTAAACCCACTAGCAAGTCTGATGGTTCTCAAGTTCCTCATTCTACGCATATTATAGAGTACTCTTCTGCAGTGACTGGCTTGCATTTTATATTTAATAATATTTTTTATGAACCAATTATAAAGTTCTAAATTGGGGTTTTGGGGTTTTGGGGTTTTGGGGTTTTGGGGTTTTGGGGTTTTGGGG